CTCGGTAGCGCCCACAGTGCCAGTCGCGCAAATGCCAGCGCTCGGCAGCGCCCAGCGTCAGGTCTGCGATGCGCCAGTCGCACACCAGCCTCCCAGGTCACGTCCAGCTGGCCCAGGCTAACGCCTGTCGTGCCGCGAGAGTCATGCCATGCCAGTCGTTCCCCGTGGCACGCCAGCGCGCACGAGCGACCATGCCCGTGCCCAGTGCTGCCGGTAAGGCCGGCAGCAACCATGCCACACCCAGCAATGCCAGTTCAGTAAATTCATGTCAGTCTAGTTCCAGGTTAAACCAGTTCCGGTTATACCGGTTAAGTCCAAATATCATGTCCAGTTCCAGTTGAGCATCTTAACACATTAAATAGCTATTTTATCAGTCTGAGCATAGTACTTAGTAATTGTTTATATTATGTTTCAGTTTGACCACGCTACTGTTATCAGCACTACCATTTTCATGGCTACGGATCAGGTGGGGACTCAGACTGGGTATTACATTGATTATAATTACGATACCATGTTTGAGGTATGTATCATGTCATGCTATGCTATGTATCCGCTTGGAATGGTCGTCGGTCCATTCTGAGTTCTAGTGGCCTAGTCTGCCCACTAGAGTGTGCACATGATGTCCGACAATTTTATGCTGGCAGATGAGGTAACGGTTATGAGGCAACAGTTCATGTTATGGCAATGGTTTACCGGTATCATGTTATGCTATGTTATGTTATGTTCATGTATATACCAGGATCATGATATTGCAATTATTTTCACTGTTTACTTTAGTATGAGTTCCTACGGAGCACAGTGGACTTTAGTGCTCACGCCCCATGTTATCTATGTTTTTCAGGTCACAGGGTCGGAGCCGAGGAGTGAGCTGGCGGCCGGTTCAGGATTTTGTTTTTATTTTTAAATTTGGCCTAGTAGTGCTGTTACTATCTCCCGTAGTGGAGTTTAAAATGTTTTGCCACGCTACGTTTCCGCTGATTTCGACTGTTTGCCAAACTTAACCTTTTGATTCGGTTACTAGTCGGGATGTTATATTATGATAAACCGTTTTACTTTAAAACAAAAATAACATTTTTCCAGGTAACGTTATGGTTATGGTAGCACTCCGAAACACGATTTCGCAAACTAATCAGTAATTTTTATTAAAAGGTTTTGCGAAAAATTTAACTATGATCTTTATGACATAGCGGGGTGTTACATCACAAGCCAAGTTAGAAGTGCCTCTGACCACTCTTTACTTCTTTTGGACACAGGGAGCAGAAAATCTAAACAGAAAAGAAGATTTCTATTTGACAAAGGCTGGCTTAAACAAGAAGGAATAGATGAAGTGGTTGAAACAACATGGTCATCCACTGTCAGTGGCACTCTTTTTTTCAATGGAGTTCCCAGTTCAAAAGCCAAAATCTTAAACGCATCTCAAAGCTGTCTCAGAGATTTGAAGTATTGAGACAATTGGGCAGAGAAGATCATTGGGATGAGTGGGAATCTGTGAAGGCAGAGCTAGACAATTTTCATAAACAAGAAGAGCTTTATTGGCAGCAAAAATCTCGAGTTTTATGGCCGAAAGAGGATGATGGCAACACAAAGTTCTTCCATGCTTACACCAGGAAAAGAAGGAAGATGAACTCTATCACAAGGCTAATTGCAGAAGAAAACCTCATCTACCAATCCCAAGAAGACATAGCAGCCCACCTCTCGAAATATTTCAGTTCTTTATTCTCCACTGAGAGCTCACTGGGGGAGAAACTATCCTTCATCTCATTCAACCTTCTATCACCTCTTATATGAACACAGCTTTGCTCAAGGAGGTTGATGAGGAAGGGATAAAGACATCTTTATTCAGCCATGCACCTGACAAATCACTTGGGGGGAATGGTATGAGTGCTCTCTTTTTCCAGCATTATTGGGCTCTTATTAAACCTGATTTAATTAAAGCCATCAAAAGCTTTTTTTACTCTGGCTTGATACTGCAATACTAGAATCACACTTTATTTACACTAATTCCCAAATGCAAAAACCCTGAACTGCTTACACAATATAGGCCTATCAGTCTCTACAGTGTAGTATATAAAATTCTTTCAAAAATTTTGGCTCTAAGATTAAAGGGTGCTTAGAATCCTGCATCAGCTCTAGTCATTCAACCTTTCTTCAAGGAAAGCAGCATGTTGACAATGTGGTTATTGCACATGAAGCATTCCACTTTCTAAACAGGCACAGATCAGGCAAAAACTACTTCATGGCTTTGAAATTAGATATAATAAAAACATTTGACTAGGTGGAGTGGAGATGTCTTCATGATATTATGCTGAGGATGGGTTTTGAAGCTCAATTTGTTAAGATGATTATGGTGTGTATCTATACCACCTCTCTCTCTTTCAATGTTAATGGCAAGTTAAGTGGACATGTTCAAACCACCAAGGGACTGAGGCAAGGGGATTCCTATCACCATATCTATTTTTAATGGTTTATGAGCTTCTCACTGCGTTACTCTCCCATGCTGTGAATAGGGGTGCATTGCAAGGTTTGAGGTTGTCATAGGAAGGACCATCTTTCTCTCATCTGCTATTTGCAGATGATGCCTTCCTCTTCTGCAAGGCTGGGGTTGATCAAGTTCAAACTCTCCTGAACATTTTGGAACAATACAGATTATTCATAGGCAGAGGGTCAACCTTGAGAAATTTACCATTTTTTTTCAGCAAGAGTACCCCCCTTCACTTACAACACAGCATGGGAAGGACCCTGAATGGCATCAAATCTCACCAATCTACTAGGTATTTAGGGATACCTCTGTGAATTGGCAAGTCAAAAAAATAGGCATTTGAATATGTGATTAATGCAGCCAGACCTAAGCTTACAAGTTGGAAGAACAAAATCCTCTCACCTGCAGAGAAGAAAGTTCTGAAAAGGTTGTCCTAAGTGCTCTCCCAATCTTTACTATGGCTTGTTTCAAGTTTCCTGTGTCAGTTGGTAAGAAAATCGCCAGGCTTTGTGCCACATATTGGTGGAGCAGATGGGAAATCAGGAGAAAGGTACTTATTGGAAATCCTGGAATCACCTGTCCATTCCCAAAAGTGAAGGTCGACTTGGCTTTCAAGATATTAAGTTGTTTAATGAAGATTTGATCTGCAAACAACTTTGGAGAATTACCTCACAACCAAACCTTTTTGGTCAATCAAGTTCTGAAAAGCAAGTACTTTCCACATACTTCAATCTTTGAGGCTGTAAAGACTCAAAGCAACTCTTGGTTATGAAATAATTGGTTGTCCATTCTTCCATAAGTCTCCAGTGGATTTAGAATTGGGATTAGACTGGGGTGTAACACCCCACTTTGATTTTAAAGAAATTCCGGACTTTCTAAATATCAGGGTAAAATTTTCAAAATCATTTTCGAAAATTCAATGGGTGTTAAACAACATTTTTCATAACCCAAGTCTTATCTGGGCTCACGGGGATTCATTACCCGGTTTTCACAAACGGTTTTCATTAACCGAAACACATCACGAGACATAATACTCAACATGCATATATCATCAACCATAATACCCAACAATCCGGGTTCCACAAATTTTTCCAAAACAACAAACCATAGGTTTTTGGAAAATATCATAATCAAGTCCCAACATAATGGTTCATAAAACCTTATTCATACGGAAGCGATAAACAAATAAAAACAACCGACCCACTCGCCTCTTCTCGTCACCCAGCTCCTACTTAACCTGCATCGGTAAAGAGCAGGTGGGGATGAGCACTAGATGAAAAGCGTGCTCACCACTATGCACATAAATAATACATGTTAAGATGGTATGGTCGCAGTATGAATATAAATCAATCATCATCATGTCTCATGATGGAGACGAGACCGCGATAGCGTTTTTAAATAAATATGATTGTCTTCGTATTTAGTTTGGTTCATTTATTATTATTAGTCTTATTTATTATTGGGCTCTTTTTATTATTATTATTAGTTTTGGGCCTTTTTGGTTATTTGCTGAACTTTTAAGATTAGGGATTTCTGATGTATTTAAAGATCGTCTTCTCCCTTTGAGAGGACAGACTTGATTTATTGAAAATTTAAGATTTCTCTTGAGAATTGTTCGTGTTCTTCCCAATCATACATACGCTCTACATCAGTTGGTATCAGCAGACCAGCAACGATCAACGATGCCGCCAAAGAGGAACGCCGGAATCAACCAGGCCATCGATGAACGTTTCCAGCGAGTGGATGAACGTTTTCAAGGGATGGATGAAAGATTTACGGATATCTCGACGGGGATCGAGGACTTGCGGGACGTGATGCAAACATTGATGGACGAGGTACGTACGACCCGTGTTGCGGCGGACCGGGGCGCGCGCGGGGGGTTTCGCGATGGTCGTGGCGGCCGAGGCTTGGGCGGAGCGCCCCGCTGGCAGCCACCATTCCCACCGCCCGGAGAGGATTCCGACGACACACTCACGGCCGATAATCCGTTCGCTGAGGGCCACCGTGAGCGGGGGCGGGGCGGCGGTTTTCAGCACCTGGGCGGTCGCGGAGGGCAACGCGAGGAGGTAGGGTTTCGGGACGGCGATTTGCATCGTCGTGACGCTGAGGTGGAGCGCGGTCGCCGCGGGGGCCACGCGGAGGGTTACCGCTGGCGCGAGGGCGCAGGTTCCGGTGATGACGATCGGGCCAGTCGCGAGGGACGGCATGAGGATGATGATTATCGCGACAGGCGGCGTGAAGGACAGCGTGAGGACGATGAGTATCGCGAGGGGCAGCGTGAGGACGATGATTATCGTGAGTGGCGGCGTGAGGGGCTGCGTGACGGCTGGGAGAATGAGGGCGATTATCGACAGGCCCGGGGTTACTAGGATCGCCGTGGTCGGGCTGGATATGAACGGAACCGGCGCGAGGGCATGCGTCCGATAGAAGGGGGCGATGCGTCGCGTTGGGAGTCCGGGTTTCGAGTGGATATCCCCGAGTTTCACGGCGGGGTTCAAGGGGATGAATTCTTGGATTGGAGGGCGTCAGTGGAGGCCGTGCTTCGTTTTAAGGAGGTGCCCGAGGATCGGCGTGTTGATCTTGTGGCCACGAGATTTCGTGGGCGTGCTGCGGCGTGGTGGATGCAACTTACGAGTATGCGGCATCGTCAAGGGAAGTCACCGATTCATTCGTGGGTTAAATTTCGGGAGTGCGTAGAGCGTGAGTTTCTGCCATTCAACTATGATAGCCTCATGTACCAACAACTTCACAATTTGAGACAGGGGTCACGGTCGGTGGACGAATACACGGATGACTTCTATCGTCTGTTGACTCGTGTTGAGTTGAAGGAGACTACCAACCAATTGATTGCTCGTTATGTGGGTGGATTGCGTGTGGCCATCCAGGACATGGTGAATTTTGTGCGGGCTGATTCGGTATCTGATGCGTATAAACGGGCCCGGCTAGCAGAGCAGCAGTTGACCAGAAAAGGCGGGACTACTTTTTCTGCGACACCTCGCGTAGGCTCGACGGGGGGTGCTATGGTGCAGCCCGGGCGTGGGTTCCCTCTGTCGGGGACAGGTACGGGCCAGCAGCTTCAGACGGGCCGGCTCGCAGGGTCGGGCAGCGGTGCACCTCGGGTCGGCGGTTCGAGAACTCCATCAGCAGCGGCGGGGCAGCAGGTTGGCTCGGGTACGCGGTGTTTCGGTTGTGGTGAGTTTGGCCATCTCCGGGCATCGTGTCCTCGTGGGTCCGGGTCTCGTGGTCTGTTCCTTGATGATGGTGACGAGTTGGACGAGACTGTGGCGTATGATGGACCGCCCGTGTTTAATGTTGAGCCGGAGGTGCACGTGGAGCATCATCGGGGCGATGTGGGGACAGCCCTTGTGATTCGTCGTTCGTGTTTGACACCTCGGGCTCCGGATGTGGAGACGAAGGAGCGCCATCACATTTTCGAGTCCACATGCACGATTGGCGACAAGGTGTGTCGCTTTATCATTGACTCGGGCTCCTGTGAAAATGTGGTTGCACAGGAGGCTGTTGACAAGTTGAGCCTGACGAGCGAGCCTCATCCACACCCTTACACTCTCGCATGGATTCAGCGCGGCAATGCTATCACGGTGGATCGCCGAGTCTTTCTCTCTTTGTCCATTGGAGCGACCTATCGGGATCGGGTTTGGTGCGACGTGGTTCCCATGGACGCATGTCATGTGTTATTAGGCAGGCCCTGGCAGTTTGATCGAGCCGCTACGCACGATGGCAGGCTTAATACGTATAGTTTTACTTTTGGCGGTCGTCAGATTGTCTTGCATCCTGCTACTTCTCGCCCGGTGCAGCCTCCTCCTGCTTCGCCTGTTCTCTTTCTATCGAGATCGACTTTTTTCCAGGAGATGCAGTCGGCCGACTTCGTCCTTTTACTTCTGGGCTCGGACAGGACGGTTGATCGCGTACCCCCACCCATTATCCAGCCACTGTTGACTGAGTTTGCCGACGTGTTTCCCGACGACCTTCCTACAGGGTTGCCTCCTTTGCGAGAGATCCAGCATCATAGCGACTTAGTCCCGGGAGCCTCTCTTCCTAATCGGCCTCACTACCGCATGAGCCTAGTGGAACACGAGGAGCTTCGCAGACAGGTGGAGGAGCTCTTGCAACGAGGGGTGGTGCGTCGGAGCCTGAGTCCGTGTGCCGTGCCGGCACTGTTGATTCCGAAGAAGGATGGGGCTTGGCGTATGTGTGTTGACAGTCGGGCCATCAACAAAATCACGGTCAGGTATCGCTTTCCCATTCCTCGGTTAGATGACTTATTGGACCAGTTACACGGTGCCACTGTTTTCACCAAGTTGGACCTTCGTAGTGGCTACCATCAGATCCGGATTCGGCCGGGCGATGAGTGGAAGACTGCTTTTAAGATCCGAGAGGGTCTTTTTGAGTGGATGGTCATGCCGTTTGGTCTATCCAACGCGCCGAGCACGTTTATGCGCATCATGAACCAGACTTTACGTGATCTTATCGGGCGTTGTGTCGTCGTCTATTTCGATGACATCCTCATATACAATCGTTCGGTCGAGGAGCATTTGGAGCATGTGCGAGCAGTGCTTCTTATATTACGAGCTGAGTCCTTCTATGCAGCACCTCATAAGTGCTTTTTCTTGGTCGACTCGGTCTTGTTCTTGGGCTTCCTCATTTCGGTCGAGGGTATTCGGGTGGATGACAGTAAAGTGGCAGCTGTTCGGGATTGGCCGACACCGACAACATTCACTGAGGCTCGTAGCTTTCATGGACTGGCCTCGTTCTATCGGCGCTTCATTTCGCACTTTAATTCGATCATGGCCCCGATCACAGACTGCCTCACAGGGAAAGTGTTCACGTGGACCGATGAGGCTGCTACAGCCTTCAGTCGCATCAAGGACAAGCTGACATCGACTCTGGTGCTTGTCTTACCGGATTTTTCTCGTCCTTTTGAGCTTTCTTGCGATGCCTCGAAAGTGGGGATTGGGGCTGTCCTTAGCCAGGATGGCCGCCCGGTCTCCTTCTTCAGTGAGAAGCTCTCGGGCCCGCGATTGAGGTATAGTACTTATGATATTGAGTTTTATGCTGTAGTCCGTGCTGTGCGCCATTGGCGCCATTATCTGTTTCACAGGGAGTTTGTGTTGTACACCGACCATGAGGCGCTGCGGCACTTGGCCTCACAGGATAGTATCTCTACACGACATGCTTCTTGGACTGCCTTTCTACAGCAGTTCACCTTTGTTCTCCGCCATCGGTCGGGTGCCTCTAACAGGGTAGCCGATGCCTTGAGTAGGCGTTCCCTTCTTTTGTCCGAGATGCGTCTGTCGGTGGTGGGTTTTGAGGTGCTACGGGATGTGTACGCAGCAGACCCGTTCTTTGGCCCAATTTTGGGTCACTTACATGACGGGCCCTACGAGGACTATTCGTTGGTGGATGGGTTTCTTTTTCGTGGGACTCGTTTGTGTATTCTGGATTGTAGCCTCCGGTACCAGCTTGTCGCTGACTTGCACGGGACCGGCCATGTGGGCCGTGATAGGTCCGTCGCATTGGTGAGTAGCCGCTATTTTTGGCCGTCCCTTCGGCGTGATGTCAGCAGGTTTGTCGAACGTTGTCGGGTTTGCCAGGTCTCGAAGGGTGTCGCGACTAACGCAGGCTTGATCGTCCGCTCCCGATTTCATCCCAGCCGTGGCAGTCGATTAGCATGGACTTTGTCTAGGGCCTGCCTCGTACACAGTGGGGCTTTGATTCTATTTTCGTGGTGGTGGATCGCTTTTCGAAGATGGTGCATTTCATTCCGTGTAAGCACACCACGGATGATGTTCATGTGGCCCAGCTATTTTTTCGCGAGGTCTATCGTCTTCATGGCCTGCCTTCGGCTATTGTCTGTGATCGGGATACTAGATTTCTGAGCTACTTTTGGAAGAGTCTATGGCGGATGGCTGATACTCGTCTTGACTTCAGCAGTGCTTACCACCCTCAGACAGATGGCCAGACTGAGGTGGTGAATCGATCTCTTGGGAACCTTCTTCGTTGTTTGGTTGGCGAGAACATCCGGAGCTGGGACCAGCGGCTAAGCCAGGCGGAGTTCGCCCATAATTTAGCCTTGAGCCGGGCTACGGGCTTATCTCCGTTCCAGGTCGTTTATGCAGTTCAGCCACGGGGCCCCTCGGATTTGGCGGCCTTGCCGTCCGCTGGCGGTGGTGATCGTCGGGCTTCAGACTTCATTGCTGAGCTGCAGCGGACCCACGCGACGACAAAGGCGCGTTTGGAGGCCACCACGGCTTCTTACAAGCGGCAGGCTGATGTACGTCGTCGCCATGCGGAGTTTGAGGTAGGTGATTTTGTATGGGCTATTCTGACTAAGGACAGGTTTTCGGCGCATGAATATAATAAATTGTCTGCTCGTAAGATTGGCCCGGTTGAGGTGATTGCCAAGATCAACCCCAACGCCTACCGGCTACGCCTACCATCTCATATTCGTACTTCTGACGTCTTTAACGCCAAGCATCTCGTTCCGTTCGTTGGTGATAATTCTGACGGAGACGAGACCGGTTCGGATTCGCGGCCGAATCCTGCCCAACCGGGGGAGGATGATGGAGACGAGACCGCGATAGCGTTTTTAAATAAATATGATCGTCTTTGTATTTAGTTTGGTTCATTTATTATTATTAGTCTTATTTATTATTGAGCTCTTATTATTATTATTATTAGTTTTGGGCCTTCTTGGTTATTTGCTGAACTTTTAAGATTAGGGATTTCTGATGTATTTAAAGATCGTCTTCTCCCTTTGAGAGGACAGACTTGATTTATTGAAAATTTAAGATTTCTCTTGAGAATTGTTCGTGTTCTTCCCAATCATACATACGCTCTACATCATCTCATCTCCTAATCTCAACAATAACTCACTCATGTGCACATCTATCATTAGCCGCAGAAAGGGGATGCATAAACCCTAACGACGGGAGTGCGTGCCACTGTAACGGACA